TTTTAGGATAAAAAATACATTACACTGTAACAAGACAAGATAGATAATAAGATAATGAAATCATATGATGTCGATGTACCAATCAATTGAGCATGACCAGATAAAATGTTTTCTGTATGGCTTAAAGGATGTCTGGATGGGAAAGATGCAACAATTCTCGATGACTTATGTCTAGAAATTTCTGTTGGAGTAAAATGGGTTCCTCTAATAAAGGCATGATAGAATGAGCATCCACCTAGCATATTATTTTTTAACTTTTACATTCTACTTGAACATAAATTTGTTTGTTTGTTTATATTATTTGAATGCATCTGAATTTTGAATTAGGAGATAAGCGTGGTAGTAAAAAATACATGTGATTCTATATAATTAGAACGTCCTGCTTCCCTTAAACATATTGAATCAATAAGGTTGTGACCTTTGACAATGTCGGTATTGAAACTTGTGATTTTTGTTCAAATATATGTCTTCCAGAATCCAGATAACCTTCTGGATTTCTTTCTTGTGTTATCTTTATAAATTAAATTATGTCTGCTTTCCTATCAGATATTTATTGTCTTTTCACTAATGAATTACTTTTCTTAAATTCCACGTATAATTTCACAACTTATTCTTTTATACTGAAATATCTTAACTCTACCCTGATTTTGCTTATGATTGCTATTATTTCATTTCTTGAATTGTTAGATCTTTCTCCGTGACTTACACTGAGCCAGAAATCCAACAGTGGCGTGAAGCACGGAAAAAGAATCACCCTTGTAACAACAATCAGAAGGTTGTAAATAAACTGATCTATCTGCTGCTTGTGTTTATCAGATGTTATTTTCTAAATATCAATTACTGAATTACTACTTGCAGAAGCACGGTGAACACCCAAAGGACTCCAAAGTCATTAATAGGGAAGTCTTACAAAGAGAGGTATGTTCCAATATTAGAGGGATGTTATTAGCGTGTAATACCTCCCAGTATAATATTATTGTTCAATAGATACTATAAGCAAATAGTGTTTCTTTAGCATTAAATAAAGTGCTGACAAATAAATATTTCTTGGACTTAGCAAATAGTATTCCAATTCATTAATGTAATGTATATATTTTTGTCTTTTGCAGCTTAAGGAGGTTTTAGCAAAGCAAGCTGAATTGGGCATTGAAGTTGCTGAAATACCATCATACTACCTTAAGAATTCTGCAAATCAAGGTATTCAGAATGAAGGGAAAAACAAATTTAGTGACAAAAGAAAGTTCCAAAACAAGTTCAACAAGAAAGCGGACAGAAAAGGTCGGTTCGGCAAGAAGCAGAAGTTTGCTGACAAAGACTTTTCAGAAAGCCCTTCTTTAAAAAGGAAGCCAACTTTATTGCAGAAACTCTTGACTGCAGATATAAAGAAGGATAAGTGCCACCTGTTTCAGATTTTCAGGTTCATTGTTATGAATTCTTTCTTCAAACATTGTCCTGACAAGCCACTGAGATATCCGTCGGTCATGGTTAAAGAAAACGGGTCTGAAGTTGACACTGGAAAACATGTTCTTAAACACCCGAATGAGGAAGCAGTTAAAAAAATTGTTAGCCTCAATAATGATAATGATCATAATAGTGGAGATGAAGACAGTGATGTGGATGAGAATTATTCTATTCTGTATAACAATCCACACAAACACCGTTCTTCTTTGGTTGAAGGTAGTGGAGAAGGATTTGAGAAATCTGATGAAGAGGAGGGAGAAATTTTAGAATGAAATTCCAAGTTTGCTCTCTCCATTTTTTGCAGTAAAGTTTTGAATACTGTAATGGTAACATTTTCTGTTAAATCATTTGTGTCCCTTATGGTTTTACCATCATACATATCTTGTTACAGTAAATATATTTTTGCAGCAAAAGTTTTGAAAACATTATTAGTTGTACTAAACTTGGCCCATGTCTTAGATTGGGTCTGACGAGTCCTAAACTCTATCTGATGCTTTGAGCAAAGGACTCAGATTTGGGACAGTCTAATTAGAGATATTAACAATGGATATTTTGATGCTTTGAAATACCTCAATGTCCTAGATTAGGACTTCTATTGGAACATTTGACTTCTAGTGGCAAAATCTTGTAAGAAAACTACTTCTTACACTTTGAAATCTATCAATACAATACATCCAAAGCCTAGTGTGCGTTAAGGTTTTGTTAATGAATCAAGTATTAAAAGCTCTTGTTATAGAATATTTTGTTAATGAATCAAGTATTAAAAGGTTTTGTGCATAATCCTTCACATGAATATTTTTGCTTGATATTTCCAGGTATATATATATAACGTAATTATATCTTTCACTTAGTTAATTCAGTTGTGAATAATTTTAATTAAAATTTAATTACATAGTAAAGATTCTTAATGAAATAAAATAAAATAATTGTGAAATTATCCATATGACGGGAAATAAAACTAGCTACCTTGTTAATTCATCAAATTGATCTGCCTCAGATAAAACCTATCACACTATTGAAAATTAAATGTCATAACTTATAATATTTAAAATTAAAAAACAACTAAAATCACATTGTAACTTTAAATTTAGCAACTCACAATAATATTTATCAATAAACTATATTAGAACCTAAATGAATTAAATATAAATTGATATAACTATTGGTAAGAATTATATCAATCACCATAGTATTAAACTATTAACTAAATATATTTTTTTAAACAGTAAACCAGTCCATATCAGTTATATTTTTTAACGCATAACACTGATTCTTTTTAAGAACAATTTTAAAAATGACTGAATCAATCTAATGGCAAATTATTGATTGGACCAATTCTTTGGTTTAAAGACAAAAATAAGGACACTTCGGTAGAAGAGGTTTTTTTTTTTAGTCTCAATGACCTTTATTCACATGAGTAGAGATTTGTTTTTAGTGGGAATGACACTCAATTTTTTTGTTTCTGTTTTTTTTTTTTAACACTATTCATTCAATGATATTATATATGTATATTATAAAGCTTATGCACAATATTTAGAAAAAAGAAGAAGAAGTAAAGTGTTCAGTTAGTTACGAGGAAGTTAAGCTATTTGAAGAAACTGAGAAAAAAATGAAAGAGTGAAGGAGAGAAAAAGAGAATATGTTGACTTGATAGAGAATATTAAAAAATATGAAGGAGCAAAATTGAGACAAGTGTTTCGATCATAGAAGAAACAATGTGGTGTAATATGAGAAAAAAATTGGAGAGAAGGTTAATTTTTTAGGGTTTAAGTTAAAATGGAAGGTTAAGATAAGTGTGATCAGCCCTAAACTTACAAATTTCATTTTCATCCATAACAATGATTTTAGGGTTTAAGTTTAAAGACAAGGAGATATAATAATTCATCATAAAACATTGCATTAGTTATTTCTTTTAATTATATAAATATGTGAAATTTAAAAATATTTTACACATATATTTATTATTTACATGGAGATAAAAATAAAATAAAATTCCTGCACAACTATTTTATTGAATTTTTTTTATAAATTTCTTACTTCATGAAAATAATATTAAAAAACATATAAAAAATGTATGTAAAGAGAAATATGTATTATTTTTAGTGACCAACATAAAGAAAAATAATTTTTTTGTATAGAGATTAAAGTATGAAATATATTTGATTAAAGATAAATGGAGAAGAGATAAAGAGCAAGTAAAAATATGTAAGAAAATAAAATTATTTTATAAAATTATTTTGTGTTTTCATTCAACCAATGTTCATTCCTTTTAGTCTTCCTTTCTCCGCAAAATTAAATTTTTAAAATAAAATCAATAAATAAAATAACCAAAATTTTTTATTTTTTTCAAATGAGAATTTCGAATAAAAAATCAAGAATAGGATTAAATCAAACTGAATCGTTTATTATATTTAAATATAATATTATATATTTAAAATTAATTAAAAACTAATATTCATGAATATATCTTTTAAAATTATTTTATTATAGTATATTTATATTATAATTTTAAACTATACAATTACAGAATTTATATATACATATATATATATATATATATATGAGACTTTTGAAATAAAAAATATAATAATATCAATAAAAAAATCACAACTTGTAAAAAATTTGAAATATAAATAAAATATTATAAAAATACTCATAAAACTTCACTTTTACAGCAAGGAAATCGTTAAAATAATATATCATTACAAAAAAAAAGTTTATAACTTTTTTCTTAATACAGTATTTTTATTTCTTTACAAACTCGTTACATATTTTATTATATATTATTATAATTGTTTTAAAAAATATTACTTTATATCACTAAAATAACTATACACAATAGGTAAACTCATAAAACCGAAGGCAGTACAAACTTTTCGATTGAAATAATCAATTAGCAAATACTTCCTACTCCAAGTTGATTTGACTGACAAATATTTGATAAAAAGTGAAGATTAAATTAAATGACAAAACGTTCATTCATTTAAATACTATAAAATTATAATAAGAAATAAACTATCTACATTTAACTAGTAAAAGATCAAAACTCTTTTTCATTTCGTTTCGCAAGTAAAAAAAATATTCAGTTTAAATTCTTATAAAAATAATCATTGTCGTAATGATTTTGGTTTTGATATGAAGAGGAATGATGGATGGTGTTGATCTCAGTCATCACACTAGTTTCGATGTTGTTTCAAAATTTTATTTACTATGTACAAGTTAGATTTAATATCGAAGCCGAAGATAGTAAATATCTTTAAAGAATTAAAAGGAATAAAGAAATTCACACAAAAATGTAATGCACCCGACAGAAAAATCAAACCACAAATGCATAAACTAATAAATCCAACAAGTTGCTACTCCTACAGCAATTCAGATACGAAAAAAAACCTGAAACCAAAAGTACCAGAGAACATGACAAGCTTACTCAGTACTCTGACTAAAACGAAATATCTAAGAAACTGCAAATAAAAACCGGGGAAATGCAATGGATAGGAATAACTGGGGAGTGCAGATTCCTGTCAAAAGACCAACGGAATCTAAGGCACAAGATTGTCATTGAGCGAGAGCGAAGCTAGTTGATCAGCAGGGTTGGTTTGCTGTTGAGCAACATTTCTCAACACATCCATGGCTTCAGCAACTTTTGCCTTCAGAGCATCTGGTGACTCGATCAGATGTAGAACTTCAGGCTGGTCCATCTCCAAAAGCATGCCAGTAACCTTTGCTGCTGCGTCATGTTCCAGCTGATCCACAAGCGGGTATAAAGCTTCACCCAGCATCTATTAAACCATTCATGATAAAAAATCGGTATAACAATATCGTAAAAGGTTCATAAATCAAAGATTACTCAACCCAAATGAAAGAAAAGAATAGCATGAAACATCATCTTACAGTCCTCTGCTGTTCAGGTGGAGCATTTGCAAGGGCCGTAGCCAGAGCTTGAATAGGCATTGGCTGTCCCACAGCATCACGCATTGGCAGACCTCCCATATCATAAGGAACTGACATCATTCCACCAGCTACACCTGGCAGCGGGACATCTTGCATGTTGCGGCCAGGAGGGTAACGATAGACTCTTCCCCTTGGAAGCATCTGAAGAACAAATTATGATAAATACTCAACATCATACAGACAAATGGCGTAAGAAAATAAAAAAGAAAACTGTGTCCGAGAGCAAACCTGCTGCTGCATCATTGGCACTGGCTGTTGCGGTTGTTGCACAGGACCTGCTCCACGGCGGCCACCTGGACGCTGACCTTGTTGTCCCTGCTGCTGAACCAGAGGAACAAAGAAGCTAGGCATTGGACCGCCACCAGGCCTCATTCCAGGAACTAGTTGCTGCTGGTAACCAAATCCAGCCTGCATTTATTATTGGGGGATGGTTACTGTTATTTCTCAAACTAAATGGACGAAATAAGTCTAACAAGTGAAATTATAATATCCATGGCATGATGATCAATAGCATAAATAGAATACAAAGAGAAACAACTTCACTGAGATTATGTAGAAGTAATTCTTGATTTTTTCACAAATATAAAACATATCTTCTAATGCATCAGAGAGGCATAAGTATAAGTTATGAATGTAAAAAACAGGCAAATATTTACTTGTGGAGGCATCATGGCTGGGGGGCCTTGCCCATACAAAAATTGTTGTCCTATACCAGGAGCACCAGGTGGGTAGAGAGGCATACGGGGTGCAACAGAAGGAGTAATTGCAACAGGCCTCATCTGTGAAAATTGTGCCTGCATGAAAGCAGTAATCATGGTGAAAATTAAGTTAAAACACCTTATTTGCATTTTAATTTGCCCAACCTACAGTAATTCTCATTACAGTTGCTAATATTGATGTTCTTGTTTATATACATTTTTTCCTAATTGCTGCAAAAGCTATACTATCCTTATTTGTATGTGTTAAAAACAATCATATATAAAATGCACAAGCCTTGCAAATGAGAATTATTATAGGCATTCAAATTTGTAAAAGGAAAATATAACCTTAAAAGTTAGCCAACAAAGCATGATAATGCAGCAAATGTAAGCAAAATACAAGCCACAAAAGAGCATAGAAAATCACTTTTCACAAATAACCACAAAGCAGGTAACTAAATTAAAGAAACAAAATCACCAACACTATAGTAGATATAATGACAAGGACAATTTAAAAGAGGTAACATTGCCACAGATGTGCAGATGTATCAGAGGTGCAACAGAGTAATTGAATAAAAAGGGGATATAAATGTTACAGATAGTGCAACTCAAGTAAATAATAGAAGAATTAAAAAACAACACTTTATTTATTCCAGCCTAGGCAGTTATTTTAATTATAAGACATCTAAACTTAAACCAGGTGATTATAAGGACAGGGCATTGTCAGGCCAATTACGAGCAATCAGGAACTTGTGTGTAACACTTCCCCTATTAGGGGATATGGAAAAATACACTCGGGCCGAACAGGATGTACAAACCCCACTGAAGGGGCAGTGCCTCAATCAGTAAGAGGGATTTGCTGGCTCCAACTATTACTTAGTCCTAGCACCTAAGCCCTACCCCTAAACGCTATCAACCACATTTGCATACCAAATATGTATCATTCTCATGGACCAAATGAAGGAATTCATGTACTAAACTAATCAGTATACTTAGAATGAACAAAAGAAACAGCTGATGCAGTCTTACTACAGGATTACCTGTAACCTAGCTCTCCTCTCTTCTTTTCTTTGTGCCAGGGCAACGTACAGAGGTTTTCCAGCAATCATTTTTCCATTCATTTCAGCAAGCTACAATTAATCACAGGTATGTATGAGAAACAATGGTTCTTCAGCAAAACATTAAAATCAGCAAATTGGTATTAGTTGTATCAATTTGTATACTTACAGCACGAGATGCTTCTTCAGGGGTTGAAAATGCAACAAATCCTGATCCTCTACTAATTCCATTTGGGTCTCGCATTACCTGGATAGTAGGTGAAATGATATGCATAGCTCAAGCCTTCTACCAATAAAAAAGATCTAACCATAACATATAACAGCAAAATCACACTTACCTTGTATGAAGTTATTGTACCAAACTCAGAAAACATTTCTTTAAGTTTTTCATCACTAATAGTATCATCCAAGTTCTTGAGGTACAAGTTCACACCCTGAAATTTGTCAGCAGCTTCCTTTATACTCTGCTCAAATCGTCCTTTCAATTCAAGTTCACGCTCAGATTTTTTCTGGGCTTTTCCAACATACCACTCCTTCTCATCAAATTTCTTCCCATTAAGCCCGTCAACAGCTTTGGCAGCATCGTCTGGGTTTTCAAAATTGACGAAACCAAAACACTTGGACTTACCATCTGCATCTCTCATTACTACAGCACTAGTAATGGTACCATATTCTCCAAATACATTCTTTAACTCCTCATCTGTGGCTGAATCTGAAAGGTTTTTCACATAGACATTATTGAATTTGGTCTTATTGAGAGCATTCTCTCTATCTTGTTTACGGAGGAAAGGCCCTACATAGACCTGCTTATCATTGATCAGCATGCCGTTTAACTTGTCAATAGCATTCTGTGCAGACTCTTCATTGTCAAATTGAACAAAACCATAGCCTTTAGACAGGCCAGAAGCATCAGTTGCTATTTTGCAAGAAAGAATGTGTCCAAAAGAAGAAAAAGTATCATGTAAGGCCTTGTGATCAATAGCCTTATCCAAATTCTGCACAACCAATATCAATAGAAATTAGTTATTTGACACGTCAAAAAACAATTACAAAAAAGAGCTTCATTGCCGAGCCAATACTCACAATAGACCAGGCAAAGAGAAAAGTGAGGGACTGTTTGGATTAATAAACATTTTCTATTTTCACTTTTAATTACAAAAGTATCACGCTGTCTTCACTTTTTCTCATAGTTTGTAGTACATAATGAAAACAACTTTTAATAGACCAAACAGTCCCTTAATCATAGAATTAATTCCTATTTAAGATATAAATTAAAATCGAGGAGGGTTCTTCACTGTTACGTCGTCCATGCATCAACTTTTAAACAATTAAACGTAAAAGACTTTTTTAAAAAAGAAAACCATTTACGACAATATAAATACAAAAATGTGATGTTTCTTTCTTTCCCAATAAATGCTTTCTACCTTTAGATTGTTCCAAGTGCCACAATAGCTAATGTTAGCCAAACATCTAAAACAGCCCTTAATTACTAACACTTCAATCCGGCTAATTTGTTTCAAATTCTGTTAACATAAGTACTCAACGCGAAATACAAAAAGAATAAGTCCACCTATTAAGTCGCGAAATTACACTATCACTACCAAATCATTGTTTTTATAAACATACCTTGATAAAAATATTCGCAGTACCACTCTTCCGAATACTAGGATCCCGATGAGAATACATGATCCTAATAGATTTGTTGTTCAGTGGAGTGAAATTCAGCACATCCAATGCCCTCGCCGCTGAGAATTCCAAATACACGTAAACCAAATAATTAACCACAATTTCCATTCCCAGCATAAAAAAGCAGAGGAGAAAAAGTAATGTGAGGAAACGAACCATCCTGAGGGTTACTGTAATTGACATAGCCATAGCCGAGTGAACGACGCGTTGTCAAGTCCCTGCAGACGCGAACCGAAACGACTTGGCCGACCTGGTTGAACAGATCGTAGAGCTGCGAGTCGTTGACATTCTGGTCAAGATCACCGACATACAACGACGTCGTCACGAACTGGTTCGCATTCTGCGCCGGAGCGACGCCGTTAGGCGGAGCCGGCACCGGACTCTGATGATGCTGAACCTGCGCCATCTCACAAACAGACAGAATTGATACACGAAAAAAACTCTGATAGAAAACTAAACCCTAACCGCTTAGCAAAATTTTTTTTGAAATAGTATTTCGCTTTGCTTCTTCTTCTTCCGTGTAAGTAAGTGATAGGGATAAAGGATAGGGATAGGGTCGCCGGAGATTGAAACGGTGGTGATGGTTGCGATTGACGGCGGAGAAACTGAAAAAAATATTATTTTTGGTTTTTTGTGTTTTTTTCAGTTTAAGGGGAGGGCAGAAGGGGCTGCACCGCACGTCACACAGGTAAGGGTGTGACTTAAATAGTGAGAAATTGAAACCCTAGTTTAATCCGTGGGTCAAAAGGGGGACATGGGCTCGCACGTGCGAGAGGGCCCAGTCAGAGACTGTTGCGATGTTTCTCGCGGAACAATAGGGCTATGTGAGTGGACCTGGCCTGCTTTCTTTATTCTTGTCGTTTTAGGTTTTGTTTTGAACAAACGTTGGACTCGGTAACGGTTGTTCGTGTGCGAGGTCAAATGTGAGTGCGTGACATGGGCTCTCACGTGTGAAAACATCAAAGAGAGGAATGTTAATTACGAAATTACCATGTGTTCAATTGGGCCGTGTTACTAGACCAGGCTTTCTCCCTTGTTTTTTATTTTTTCTCAAATGTTGTATGTTGGACTTAGAAAGATTTTTTTTTTGTACTAAAGATTTGGAAAGTGTGTTCATGAGCTGATTTTACCTCTTGGGTATATTATGGGCCAGAACCCACCCCCGTTGCTGGGCTTTCTTGAGAATACATGGCCTGCTTGCAACTTGAAAAAAAGAACATGTTTTTGGGGAAAAACTGATAAAAAAGACAAAAAGTAATCATTTTGAAAATGGTAAAAAAAACATTTTTATTGTTTTACTTAGTTGATGGTGGACCTTTTCCTATCATTTGAATTTTTTTTTTATATCGTAACAGAAATTATGTCAGCATAACTTTCAATAGAAAAAGTTGTGATTTTTCTTCTGATATATTTGATTTTTTTATGTGTTTTTCACGTTAAACTTTAATATATATATATATATATATATATATATATATATATATATATATAAATTAATTAACAACGATGGATTATAGAGTAAGTATATGCATATTATTTAATGACAGTAACATCTCCCATCATAGTTGATATAAAAAGACAACCACAACTTAGATAAGATAAATACTTTTATTAAAATTACATTCACTGTTGTAACCTATTGCGAGTTAAAAATATTATATAAGTGCTTGAATTAAATCTAATTTTAATCTTATGATGACGTGAATAATTACTTACCATGTCTAATAAATTTTATCTTCTATTATTATTTGATCTAAGTAAGTGTTTATAAAATTATAAGTAAAAGTTTTTATTATTATTATTATTATTACTTATGTTAAACCCAATATTTTGCTAGAAAAAGAAGCTAAATTTAAGAGGAGAGTAAAGTTTGAAAGATTTTTTTGAAATTTTACTTGTTTAATCTAGAATAAAAATTTTATATTACAGATTTGAAAGTTAATTACACAAAATCAACAAGAAAGCATGTATGTAGAGTAACCTAACATGTGGGTACTTTTGACTCAACTAAATGACAACTTTTGACCCATGACAATAATCGGAAAGATGTTATGTTTTGGTTCTGATACCATGTTAAGGTTTCAACATAAAACAAATTAGCAATATGTGGAGTAGCTTAACATGTATTTAAACCATACAAAATAACATGAAGAAGACGGGTGAGATTTTCAACACTAAAAAATGGAGAAACACACATAAAGTAGTTCATTTTTAACCAACAACTATATTCAATCCTTAATTATAATATCTAAGATTTTCACTAAATACAATAAAGTTATTATTATAATAATAGACTAATATATCTACCTAATTAGAGTTTTCTTAAACCGATGACACCTTATAACTATGCAAGATCCAAAAATCCTATTTAAAAATTATAATATAAATTATGATTGATAAGAAAAAAAATGAAACCTTATCACTTGGAAAACCAACTAATATAGGAGAAAATAGAATATTCAGCCGAAGAACAAAGTCTTTTCTTCAAATTAGTGATTGATCTTGAAATTCAAATAAGAAAACCTCAACAAATGTATCTCCAATGCAAACTAATACTCTTTCAAAATATGAAAATGATTTTTGAAAATTTAATTAAAAATGGTATGTTTAAAGGTTAAAAGATAAAAGAGTTATATAAAATTAAACTAATAGTTTTAATTGATTAAAATTATCTTATTATATGTTAATTTCACTTTCCGTGAAAGTGAAATTAATCCATTAAATATTCATTTTAGCCTATTAAAATAAATTAATCGATTAAATATTAAACATATTGAAAAAACGTTCAAAAATTTCTTTGAAAATATAAAGATATTTTAACTTATTAAACCATTTATATCAATTAAAACAAAAACTTCAAAAACATTTTCAAACATAGAGATATTTTAATCTTTGAAAGATATATATTTAATCAATTAAAACAGAAATATACGAAAAAGCACTCTTGGAACCCACAAAATTTTAATTCATTAAAAATCATTTTAAAATATTAAAATTGTTCTTAAAAAACCATTTTTGTCTACAACTGATTTTAATAGATTAGTTAAATATTTTAATGTATTAAAACATATCTAAGAATATTTTATCATACTAAAACTCCTTTTTAATTAGATTAAAACTTCCTTTTTCAAAAAGAACTTTAAAAATCAAATTCACAAGGCTTTTAAACCACAAACCATGATTTAAGAAGAAACTTACACAAGTTCAATGAGAACACAAGACCAAAGACAACACACGACTCATATTTTAATCTTCATTCTTCGTGAAAAAGTTGGATTCATAAAATCAAACTACAACTTCAAATGATATTTTCTCCTTTGTGCTATTTGTTGTTATTGTATTTCTACTCTCTCTTTTTTCCTGGGCCATCTGCATAAGGTTTCTCACTGTCGTCCATTTCATAATATTTGTCTTTGTCTTTATAACCTTTAATGCAAATTAAAAAAAAATCTTCTAAATCTTCTTTAATACCAGGATTATATATGCCTACGTTCTCTTTTACTATCTATAATTTTATTTGTCAATGTCAATAATATTTTTTTATCCATATTTGAATTTGATGGTATGGTAATATGAAATTGAGAATAATTTGGGTCTAGTGCAATCTAAGTGTCAAGGAATGAAAGTAAGGTAGATTTGTGTGAAAATATTTTTAAGAAATTAACATGAATTGGTGAAGCTTGGGATTTTGGATCAAGAATATATAGTGTTTGAAGATATATAAGACTTATATATGATGATTATACTAAGAGTTGACATGGAAAGTTTATAAGTTTTATGTGGCTTGAATATATTTGTGTTGTAAATTCAACATAAGTAAAAAAATAATTGACATAAAAAAACTGTTATTCAAAGTAATAATGAAAATTCATTTGTATGCAATTTGATATTACCCATTCACTAAAAAAATGTGCCAATAATAACTATTGTAACATTATATAATTTGTTAGATATTGTTTAGATATTATTTAATATTGTTAAGATATTGTTAGATATTGGTAACCACAATATCAAACAATATCTTCTGTTTATTCTATTACTTTCAGTTACTCTTTTAGTTGTATCTCTCTACTATAAATAGACCACCCTATGTGTGATTTATACACAAGGAAAATTAATTCCAAACCCTATTTTCTCTATATTCAACATGGTATCTAGAGCTTAAGGTTATCTTGAATTTTTTTTTTCGCCTTTTATCTACTGTTGGAGCCACCCCACCGCTGCTAGAGCCGCCCCACCGCTGCTGGTAAATTGATCCTCCACATCAGAAAAGAATTATCTTTGTTACTGAATTTTATTTGGTAGTGTGAAAGTGCATGTTTAGGAAAGTTCTGGCAAGGAAAGACTTGGTATTTAAGTGTGTCCATTAGTGACCCACCTCTCTTTCTTGGGAACTTACCTGGTGTACTAGTTCACGTTGTTGTCACCGCTGCCGTTGGAGCAATCACCGGATCCGCCGCTGCCGGAGAATTCGCCGGAGTTTCATTTTTTTTTTACCAGTGACATATGATTTTGCTTGTCTCGGTCAGGTGGCCACCGTGCCATTGAGATCACCACTATCGGAGTTGGTCGTCCTATTGTCTCCTGCGCCGTTTAGTGTTGGCGAACTTATTTTTAGTACTCTCATTTTGGATTTGTACTTCGTGGGTTAATTGGATTACTTTGGATTGTTTTAGGGTTTATTCTCCCGCTCTTTATGACTTCTTCCACTATTTCCAATTTTGTTAACAATTCTTTTGTGTTGACATCCCATCGTGATGACCGGGCTCGGCCTCACAAACAGGAAAAAGGGCGTCCTAAGTGTGAACATTGTGGCAAGCTAGGTCACAAAATTAACAAGTGTTATACATTACATGGTCGTCCTCCTCAATCTGCTGTAGTTGTTCACACCAATCTTTCCCCACCTTTATCTGCAGGGGATCTTCCTTCTTCTATTGCATCCGACATGCCTGCTATGTTCAACAAATTTCTCGAATGGTATAAGGATCAATAGTCTTCTAGTTCCACTATATCTGTCACACATACAAATACATATTTTGCTGGTCTGACCCAATCATTTTCTCCTGGTCCTTGGGTTTTTTATTTGAGAGCCACTGATCATATTACTGTTCCTGCTCCGCAGTCAGCTTCTTCTCCACTGCCTCTTCAGATTTATAGTTCTCGAAACCAATCACAACCACCACCATGTGACTCTACTCAAGTGCCAACTACTCTGTCTCCTCCGGATCTGACACATGAGTCTGACCTTCCCATTGCCCTCCGAAAAGCCCATCCTGGTTGGCGTCAGGCCATGTTAGATGAACTAAGTGCTCTTCATAATAGTGGAACTTGGGAATTGGTCCCGTTACCGTCTGGGAAATCTGTTGTTGGTTGCAGGTGGGTGTTTGCTATCAAAGTTGGACCTGATGGTACTATTGATCGCCTCAAAGCTCGTCTTGTGGCCAAAGGTTATACTCAAATTTTTGGGTTGGATTATGGAGATACCTTTTCCCCTGTGGCAAACATGACTTCTGTTCATTTATTTATCGCCATGGCTGCTCTTCAACAATGATCTCTTTATCAACTGGATGTTAAAAATGCTTTCCTCAATGGTGATTTGCAAGAAGAAATATATATGAAGCAACCTCCTGGGTTTGTTGCTCAGGGGGAGTCTTCTGGGATGGTATGTCGTCTTCGCAAATCCCTATATGGCCTAAAACAGTCTCCTAGGGCTTGGTTTGGAAAGTTTAGCAAGGTTATTCAACAATTTGGTATGACTCGGTGTGAATCAGATCATTCTGTCTTTTATCGACCATGTGTTTACTTGATAGTATATGTTGATGGCATCGTTCTTACAGGTAGTGACAACCATGACATCTCTCAGTTGAAACAACATCTCTGTCACCATTTTCAGACCAAAGATCTTGATAAACTTAGATATTTCTTGGGTATTGAGGTGGCACAGTCCAATGATGGTATTGTTATGTCTCAGAGGAAGTATGCCATAGATATTTTGGAGGAAACTGGGTTGATGAGTTCAAAGTCTGTTGATACACCCATGGATCCCAATACTAAACTTCTACCAAATCAGGGGGAGCCTATATCTGATCCTGAGCAGTATAGAAGATTGGTTGGAAAATTGAATTATCTTACAGTTACTCGTCCTGACATTTCCTTTGCAGTCAGTGTGGTAAGTCAATTTCTTAATTCACCATGTGAAGATTATTGGAATGCAGTCATTCGTATCTTGAAGTATATTAAAGGATCTCCTGGAAAAGGATTGTTATATGGTTCTAATAACCATACAAGAGTTATTTGCTACTCAGATGCTGATTGGGCAGGATCTCCTTCGGATAGAAGATCTACATCTGGATATTGTGTCTCCATTGGTGGTAACTTGATCTCATGGAAAAGTAAGAAACAAAGTGTTGTGGCAAGATCCAGTGCAGAAGCAGAATATAGAGTTATAACCTCAGCTTCCTGTGAACTTGTTTGGCTCAAGCAATTGCTTAGAGAGTTATAATTTGGAGATGTCACTCAAATGACACTTGTGTGTGACAATCAGGCTACTCTTCATATTAGTTCTAATCCTGTCTTTCATGAGAGGACCAAACACATTGAGATTGACTGTCATTTTATTCAAGAAAAGATTATGTCTGGAGATATCAAGACTGAGTTTGTTAACTCAAGTGATCAGTTAGTAGATATTTTTACTAAATCTTTACGGGGTCCTAGAATTGATTATATTTGTAACAAGCTTGACACATACGATTTGTATGCTCTAGCTTGAGAGGGAGTGTTAGATATTGTTTAGATATTATTTGATATTGTTAAGATATTGTTAGATATTGGTAACCACAATATCAAACAATATCTTCTGTTTATTCTATTACTTTCAGTTACTCTTTTAGTTGTATCTCTCTACTATAAATAGATCACCCTATGTGTGATTTATACATAAGGGAAATTAATTCCAAACCCTAGTTTCTCTATATTCAACATAATTGAACTTTCATTTCTAAATTAATATTAATTAATAAGGTTGAACTTAGGTATTGATATTAGCAAAATCATATTTTTTTTAAATAACATTTATTAAAAGATCTTAAGAACAAAGGTATGTGGCATTTAAAAAAAATATTTTGTATAAATAAAGAAAATCAAAATATTATCACATTAAGAACATTTTTAATTTAAAATACTAATAAGTCACAAGTAGAAAGAATTTTTGTGAATATAAGTTATAATTATGTTATTCAAGTGTATACAAAATACATATGATGGTAAAGTAGAATGACTAAATATATAAACATATACACAAAAAGAGTTTAAATGTATAAATTTTCCCAACTCATATAAAAAGATCTTAATATTCTAGATAGATATCTATAATATCCTATCTAGTTTAAAAACACACTGAAGTCTATGTCAGTCATTACAACAAAGGTATCCTAATTATAAGGAGAAGAATTTCTATGAGGGTCCTCTTCATGATCATTCTCAACTAGCCAACATTCATTCACATCCTACCACTACAAAAAAATGGGTATTATTTACAAAATATTACCTACGGATAAAAATCCGTAGGTAAAATATATATTACATTAGGGTATTACCTACGAAATTCTATCCATATGTATATTATTCATTACTTATGAAATTTACCTACGGTGAGATAATTATGCATTACCTACAAATGTATGAGGTAGGTAATGCTTATTTACTACTTTACCTATTCATTTACCTACGAATGTGTAATTAAAAAAAAAAAACAAAAAAAAAAAAACAAAATGTCACCTAGGTCTCACTACCTCGCTACACCTCACCGCACCACCACTCTCCTCATTCTTAGTTTTCACCCAGCCACATTACACTCACCCTGAGCCTCAAGCACCTTAACCTCCATTCCCACCACGCCAGCCACCACGGGTCTCGGTTGCATCGCCCCAAAATCGCAGTCGTGAGAACCACCATCCCACTCCCTTGCCTTCTCACACTCTAATCCCTAGCCACCGCAGAGAATCCAATCGCGCCTCCAAATTGTCACTCGAGGGCCACCTTCGCCAGTGTCGCACCGCCTCTGCAGTCACAAACCACTGTCTCACCTCATCCATTCTTCCCCATTTTCCTTTGGTTCAACATCCCAAGCCTCCCAGCTCGAGCCTTCAGTGGATTTGCCCACACTCGTCGCGTCTAAATCGCCACTGCGTGCCATTCTCGCCAGCCACTGCACCAACTCTAACCAGTGATGCCAGCACTCACCGCGACACCCAGCCACCCATCACAAGTTCTTTAGCTTATCAATCTCCAAGTCACCGCAATGCCTGCTACAGTCACCACCTCTCCTCACTCCAGTCCACCCCAATGGGGCCACTGAGTTCGCCGTGAGCTAAAGGCGAGTCAAGGAGGCCACGGGTCAAGCCTGGTGTTTCATACCATTCTACTTTGATATGATTTCTTGCATGCACTTTTCTCGAGTCTGGACTATTTTGTTTAATTTTGATGTGTTTTGGCTAGATTGAGTTGTTGGATTGAGTATTGATGTTTTCGTTTAGTTTATTTTTGTGTTGAGTGGGTTGGTCCATATTGTTTTGAAGTCTGAGTTGGATTTTGTCTGATGTGTGTTGTTGTCTGCACTTTGGTGAAAGCCTACAATTTTCTTTTCTTTTCTTGGCCCTATCAAAACTGTGCATTATGTTTAATGTGACTAATGACATTGATTCTATTTTTCTGGGTTGTGTTCAACTTTACCGTGCTTTGTGTAATTTTAGTTTTAAACGTGTCACTAGATTTGTTCAAAATTAAATTTCGTTCGTTAGGATAGACAATTGTGATTTTTGTCCCTTTTTCTGGCATTTAAAATCAATGATATTTTGCAGATTGTACATGAGAATCAATCATGTTGTGGACATATCCTCACTTTTCTCCTGCAAGCTTACAAAAGAGCACTACCTATTTATCTTCCAGTGATACCTGCACTTATAGTTCATGGAAAAGGACTTTTAAAAAGGTGATTATCTAATAGAAATACTTAGCAACCAATTTACTCTTCACTTGATCCTATGTGTACTTTTAGAAAGCATGTTATATCAGGAATTAATTTCTATGAGAGCTATGATAAGCATATTATGTATGACGTTACTCCTTTGCATAATTGACTATATAAATTTCCTATGTATAGATATGTCATCAGGAGGGTGTTACTCACCCCAACCTCCCATGTCTCATCCCAATAAGGGGAAAAAAGTAATGAAATGAAAAAGATCACGTTATATACTTAAAGTAAATGTCCCTCCCCCACTCGTAGCTCCTGCACCTATACCTTCTTCATCTGCATGTGCTAAGAATATACATGTCCATACAAACAATATTGTCACTTTTGCCCCATCCCTAGTCGATGCACCCAACCCTAGTCCTTCACCTGTCATTGCATCAGCACCTCCCCTAGGAGCTACATTGCCTTCAATATCATCAGTACCATCACCACTACCTTTAGTCTCACCTACATTACCCTCAAGGTCTCCAACACTATCACCATTATTAGTGCCTTCTAGAGTCCATCATACACCAGCTGGGGAAGAATAAGAAGTGCATATTTAGGAAGGTGATGCACAATCAGACATTGAGGAGGATCATCCACTTGGAATTAATCTTCCTATCATATCACCTTATGGTATAGGGTAAGAATAAAGTTAAAATTATATCATTCCCATTATTTGCAAGTATTAGGAAATTGTGTTATAATTATTTAATTTAATTCTTTGGCAAAGGTTCCATCCATGTCGGGTTGCATCACAAGCTATAACAATGACTATTAAGCAACAATATTCTAAGCCATGACTAGCATGTGGTTCAATGACCGATGTTGAAAAAGAGACATTCTTTCAGCGGTTTAAAGTAAGTTTTCTTATATTTAGGCTGATGAATTATTTTTATTACTTACATTCATTGACACAATTATTATTATTTGTTTGTTTGTGTCAATCATTTGCAAAGAGAAAGGTCACTTGTAGACCTAAAGAGAGGATAAGATTCGAAATAATTTTCACTCAAAGGCCTCACATAGGCTATCTGAAATGTTCAAAGATGTTAGAAGGGCAGAAAAGAAGCCCCATTGGATGTTTGATGATGTGTGGAATGCTTTGTTGAATAAGTGGAACTCAACTGATTATTGTGCAAAGTGGGCACAAGCTCAGAAGAATAGAGCTTCTGAGACGGGTGGTAGTTTACACACAGGTGGTTCTATTAATATGCACGAGTAAGTCATTCCTATGGTAAATATGTAATTATAACAAAAGTTTCTTTCTTTCATTTCTTCATGATATGTTATTAGTTAAATTTTTTTTGCAGGAAAAGGAGTTGGGTCATCCTGCACATATTGACGAGGTGTTCAAACAGACACATATACGAAAGGTTAGTGGTGAATTTGTTGATGAAAGGTCGAGAAAAACTCATGTGAGTTGTGAACTTATTTAATATTACTTTATTACTCTCTTACATGTTATGATGAATATGTGTTGTATACAATGCATAATTTTTATTTGTATGTTAATAGGAAGAATTTCACAGAAGATACTCTCAGGCTAGATCTGAGGCAGCATCCTGTACTATTGAAACCGAGTCATCTCCATTAGATCTTATAGAGGAGGAGAGAATAAGGACTGAAAGTTGGGTTCTTGCTGCATGTGGCAACAAAAAAGGTCGAATCTACGGTGTTGGAGAACTTGCCCATAATTTTTGGCCTGGAGATACCTTCTCATATTTAGGATCTACTGCTTCTCGTGAGATTACGCAATTAAAGGAACAAGTGCTTAGTTATAGAGAGGATAATGAAAGATTGAGCCGCCAATTACAAACACTTATCAGTGTTATCCTTCCTTTTCTTCCACTTGATGCCCGACAAACATTTCAACAACAACAACCTTCCCAACAAGGATCACAAAAACAACAATCACAACAATAATCACAGGAGCAACAAGAGTAACAACAACAACAATCACAACATCAACAACAATCAACTTCTGCAGAGTAACCTCAAAATGAACAAGGACATTACTCAAATTATTAAGACACTCAAACAATATTGTCATGATATTTATTACATTACTTCTTTGGATTTATATGTTCTTAGATATTTGAATGACTATTTAATGCATGCTAATATTGTCATAATATGCAAGAACATTCTCTTGATACAAATTTTTCTAAAAATATTGATTACTTTAAATAATCAAGAATTTTGATTATATTTTAATTGTGTTGATTTAATATTTTTTTAGTTAATACATTATGTTACTTATGTTATAAATGTTTGAAAAAAAAACTTTTATTATGTTGGACCAAATATATTTGGTTGTTGAAAGTTGATTGATTTAGTATTCTTATATTTATTTGAAGTTTTATTTTATTTTGTGCAAATCATGAAGAAAAATATGTAAGTATTGGACTTTTTAGTAACAATGATACAAAAATTGGAAGAATTAGCTTGAGATTTGTGAGGGAAGAGTTTTAAAGGAATAACTACAAAATGATGAATAAATATTAATAAGAGTAAGAAAAGGATTAGCAATGAAAAAAAAAATTGTGAGGAACTAGCAAGGACCAAATTATGAAAATTTAGCTTTTATAATACTGAGAAATTCGAGCAACCAATAGCTAGATGATCATGGAACTTTCCCATTGCAAGGGATTGTGTGACAAATTGATGACATATTGCTGAAGAGTAGCGAATGAATACATCTCTTGTTTACTTGGATTTAGCGACAATTTTTTTCTGAACTAAGTTGTTACAAAATTTATTAATAAAAGATTAATAAAATATATATTTCACCCTCATTTTCTTTCTTCTCATCTCTATACGATTTCGCAGCAACCCAACAATGCCTGAATACAAGGTGTTTCAATGTGATGCTTAAAATATCACAACTCATTTAATATTATCCTATATTAAATTCATAACGCATTTTAGCTTTGGTCAGAGTTCACTTTTGGCGATTTTTCATACTTTATGAAGATTTGAAAATGTTCATCTCCCTACTTTCCCTCCCTCCCAAGTCATAATTCTAACGGTGCCTTACCCGGTGGCCCTACATGAACTGTGTGATGGAAAGAAATTTGCATGTCAATGATGGAAAAATAAATGGACGCATGTACCTTCGATAATCTATGTGCCTACTTTATCAGAGTCGGATCTGTGATGGTGAGTGGAGTATCCAGTGTGAATATTATTTAACGTTATAATTTTTTTTTCCCTTCAAATTGAAACTCATGAAAAGGGTTCCAACATAAGTTTATTTTTTCATGGCTTCTCAACTTCTTAGGTCATAGACTATGTTTTATTGTAGTATTATGATTATTTTTGGCTCACAAATTTTCATACACGGATTTTCCACCGTATGAATCATTGCCATTGTTTAAACTCGGTGAAGCTGTAAAGTAGGTTTAGATTTAAGAAGAAGTATAGAAGTAGTAGGTGCGTGGACTTCAGTGTCCGTAGCTCCTCCTTTTAACCTAAAAGCTTCGATTTATTCACACCCACTGCGCTGAAATCAACATGTAAAGAGGACAATTACGTAGGTTTGGTTAATTTGGTCTCAAAGCGCGCGGGAACAGTACAAGTTGTAGACAACTTTGTCTTTTCTTCTTTCCCGACACAACCAAAGAAGAAAGTGAAAACTAAAGCAAACTAAACCAAAAAAAAAAAGAAGCTACAATCGTTTCTCGTTAAGTGGTTAAACAATTAAAGAAACAAACAAAACAAACCCCTTCATCTGCCTTCCGGGTGCAATGGGAAAAGCTCCAGAGTTTTGTGTTCCTCCTCTTTCCATGATGACCAACTTTGGTCTTCCAAGTACTCAAATGCCCAGCTCCTACACTTCTTCAAAGGGCTATCTTCCTCATCTCTTTCTACTACTTCTCCCTGTCCAAAACACAAGAAATATATCAAAACCATGTCATAACATTTATATCCCACAATTATACATTCAAGTTCGGTCAATAACAACTTCCCATCTCATATACAGATTACCTAATCCTTCACTTCTAGACCAAAGCTAATATAGTTTATATAAATGAATAGCTAGTTTCAGTCCAAGTTGTACTTTTATAACACACAAATCTGTTTAGGGAGCATAGAACTACTATAGAAGTATTCTACCCAATTGCATATTAAAAGGTCAAATATGAAGCTCTTTATTAAACTGAAACAATCTCATTTGGCAGTCTTGAATCGCATTACACATTATGACTAGTTACTATGTTGTGAAGAGCTTGGAGTAGCTAAGCATGTATACACATACCCGTTTTGTCGTGTCCAAAGAGGTTATTACACTACAACTAAAGGAAGGTGACACTAGTGTGGTGGGAGTACGAGGACTATGAGCAAGGCCTAGGTTGTTACGCTTCTGCTTTTGTCTCTCACGTGCCTTGTGGTTTTGGAACCAATAGAACACGTTCTTCCCTTCGATCTTGCCGTACTTGCTAAGTTGGACTGTGATCTGCTCTATTTGTTGAGCATTCGGTGTTCGCATCCCTCCTCTATACAGCATCTCCAATATCCCTATCTGTTCTTGCGTCGGATTCCACCGTGTCCCTCCTGGAATATGCGTTTCCACCTGCATAATTATACAAAATAACAAATCTGTTAAACCAAGCTTTTGTATGTGAGAACGTGAAATAATTGCCATGGTTCTGAACTCTAGTTAAAGTTTCATCGTGAATTTTGATACCGTGAGAAATTACAGACAAATAAACTTAATGCAGTTACAGTCGAAAAAGCTCTACGTTCAACTGTAATTTCAGTGCTAAACTGCAGTTTAAATCCATGATGAGCATACATTGATCCTGTCTCTCGTAAACAAATTTCATTGACTATAGATAAAACATTCATAACGCGAGTGAAGTTAAATGTGAAGTGAATATTTAGAGAGAGAGATTATATTAATGGACCTGGCCCTGAGGCGAAGTAGGGTCTTTCTTATTATCGTCAGAGGATACAAGTTTTCTGGAGGCACTTTCTGGTTTGATGAAGCTCTTGAGGTCGAAAGTTGTGACTGGAGGTGAAGTGATAGAGGTAGTGGAGTCAGTGTTGGAAAGCTTGGGAGCAAGGGGGCGTAAGCGTTTGCACCCAAGTGTGAGGGAGGGTTCATGCTCCCAGAATCCACGTGCAAACTGATGCACCTTCATTCTCAATTAGTCACTTACTAGCTACCATATGGAGGAGAACTTGGTGATTTATATAGAGGAATGATGGTGGATGATGGTAGTAGAACAAACAGTGATTAAAGTGAACAAAGAGGGAAATGAGGTGTTGCCTGCAACAACCAAGACCAAATCATGAGGTGCAGTTGACTTGAGAATTTACTACTGTATATTAAACTAAAAGGTGATTCATTCTAATTAAAAGAAGAATTAATTATTTTTTTAAAGAAAAGGAGAGTCCCAGTACGTAACTGACATACATATGCATATATGACAGAGTGTTCATTTTAGATTTTAATTCCTCTTTTATAGTTTGTCTAATAGATCCCATATTGATTCTTCCCTCATACATATGCACAAATGACATTTGTTAACCATTTTTTGTCACCAAGTTGCATTAATTTTAAGTTTAAGCAATCAAATCGAACCTTAAATGGTATATTTTAACTTATAATAATACTGTAATATTAATTCTTTTTAGTTTTCTTTTTCATAAAAAATCACATGTACCAAGGTTTAACAAACAATTTTATTTGAGATGAGTAAAATACTATATGAATGATAAAAATATTTATTAAAAGTGCATGTTGGTGTTAAAAACATTATCATTAACTGACAAATATGTTCAAAGTTTGAAAGTAACTATTGTTTAAATCTTCATTTATATATATATATATATATAGAGAGAGAGAGAGAGAGAGGGCGGGAGAGTGTTTTTTTTTTTAATCAAGAGTTGATACACAAACACCTAATAGAAAATACTTAATGATGTGACTTATAATAGGTATTTGTGTCTTAAAGGTTGTCTTTTTTTTTTTTTTTTTTTTTAGTATTAGATGATGAAGGGAATATGATATGAGAGAGGGAGGTGGGGACATGAGAGTGAGGATGGATATCATGGGATGTGTACGTGGTATGTGTGTATGGTGTAAGGTGGTGTGTTGGTGTGTTGGCCCGTCAAATCGGGTCGTTTTTTTCTTGCTTTCATGATAAGGTGTCCTTGCTTTTCGGTGGCCTCTATGCCCCCCTCTCTCTCTCAACCCTTTGCTCATCAATTAAAGTGAGTGAAGTGAGGAATGCAAAAAGATTCCTCCAATCCCAAAACTTCAAAATCAACCAACCCCTTTCATTTCCTTTTCACCCATGGATTTTTCATTTTCATAAATATATATATATATATATATATATATATATATATATATATATATATATATATATATATATATATATATATATATATATGATGAAGTGAATGCCATCTCTATCTGTTAGAATGGTAAATCTCCAACTTACACAAACTCACTCCATGTACATCATGATGTAAAATATTCCATGTGTGACCTCACAACCTTCAAAAAGAGAGAAAAAAAATAGATTTATAATATATAAATAAGGTAAAATAAATACATGGCATGCATGCATCCATATCCTAAGCCTTACAATTAATGTCTTAGATTTCCTCCAACTTTTTATCCAAATGTGGATTCTGTTGTTGTGTTACATCTTACATAAATAGACTCTGGGACATTCAGTGTGCATGCTGATGTTATAATATATAATATGCAAGCAAATTTACGTTGATGTGGGCCATGCATATTATTATTATTATTATTATTATTATTATTATTATTATTATTATTATTATTATTATTATTATTATTATTATTATTATTATTATTATTATATATAAAAGTAAAATTAGCATTTGAAAAATGGGCAATTATTCTCTCTTCCCGAGTAGGGTTTAGCTTATCATTGAGTCTTGAGAGTAGCTGTCAATTTGACTATCGGACATTTCTTTAAACCAATGAAGATCGCATGCCTAAACATTCAATTAATCATAACTTACATGATATATATTTTATGAATTCAAATGGTGTGTAAAAGTTTATTTAAGAGATTGAATTATAATTTGTTTTGATTGTTTTTATTACATATATAAATATGTATAACTAATCTTATAAACTAATTTATAATATAAGATTTGTGTTTTAATGATGTAAAAATTTTAAATGTTATTTTTAAGAAATAAATATTTGATCGAAATATTTAAGAATAATCTAATTGATTTATAATAAATAAATATTAAGTCAATAAATTTTATTAGAATAGATGATTATATATTATGATATATTCATCTTAATTATATATTACAAATTTCTCATATTTTTAGTTAATATAAAATTTCTATCATTAAAAAATATTATATATTATATATGAATAGTATTGACATGCATTGTAACCAGAAAATTTATAATGCTCATAAATTTGGTCATTTCAATAGGAAGAAAAACTAATTATGACAAGGGCAAGTGAAAGGGGAAGTTGCTGATTAATTAATAAGGATGAACAAACAAACAAAAGTTTCATGATATACAAATAAAAAATGCAAGTTGCTTTCATATTTTTCATCTTCAAAGTTGGAAAGAAGAAAAGTGACGATACATGGTGGAAATTTTGGTAAGTGATGAAATAAAGAAATGTATTTTGTTTTGATCTTTCATGATTGTATCTTCTAAGTTCCATGAATTGGATCACACAAATTAGTAAGAAAATGAATTATAATGCATATCAGTGAAAGTGGGCGCACGAGTGGGAAACTGAAGGCACACGTGTTTTAGTCAAAATACATGATCACCAATCATCACAATGATGCACCTGCAAAGAGAGGCGTGAAATATTCCATTTTTCACTCCAATGGTTATGATTATGAATATTCAGTCACTCACTCATGTACTTCACTGACCAAACACAAACTTTCCTCTTCTGGCCAACACTGTCCTCTGGTAAATGTAGTAATTTATTCACATTTCACCAAACTCCTCTCACCTTTATTTTGTTAAATAAAATTAAATATAAAATATATATTCAAATGTTAGTTTGGGTTAAAATTCAATTAGAGTTATGTTCTGTACACTTGGCATATTAGTGATCACTTGAGACTAAGTATAATTTATATTTTTTTTTAATTTATCAATACGTCTTTTAAAATAAAAATGTGACAGACGAAAACTAAAAAATAATCATACATAACACACAAGAATTGATACTAACAAAACAAACATTATATCAATAGAAATTAATTTTATCATATTATCATATACTATTAATAGTATGTTAAAAAAATTCATAAATTTATTATCTTAGATGAAAGATGAAGTTATATGATTAAAAAAATTATCATTTTAATTTGAGTATTTTTTTATTTTTAAAATAGAAAACCACATGAACACAAACTAAACGAGTCTTTTGCCAGTTTATCACGTCAACATCATAATCATGCATATACATTTAACATGCAACCTAGTTTTAACATCATAATATAAAAAATGAATAAAAATATCAATTTAGTTCATTAGATCCATTTTAACCAAGTTTTTTACCCACTAATCTATATTTATTTTTTACGCAATCTTAATTAGATACAATATATACATTAATTAGCTTAATCTTTAATAAACTACTAATCATAAAAAAAGATTAGAAAATAGTCAACCCATCGAATGTAACCATGTTAAAGTAGAGTATAAATATAGGTGTGTGTTAGAACGTACACTGAATCTAACTATAGATGATTTATGTATAGCTTGGTTAAACAGGGAAAAGAAATGGAAGAAGGTTGATTTTCACGTTACTAGAAAAAAAAAAAAACGAGTGGGGGAAAAAAACTTAGCCACCACTAACTTTAATCTTTTTACCTTTATTTTCTTTAGAAGAATGTATATGATTAGACAAGTAGTTATCATTGCAGAAGCTGGCTTTAATAAAAAGTTAGATCGATGGTTCCCTTTGAAATATCAGATCCACTTAAACCCAAATTTTGAAGGTCACGAAAGGGAGATTCCAAGTATCATGTCATCATAACGGACTTTCATGTGTATCTCATAATAAATTTTCATGAATATCTCTTTTTACAAAATTTACTTATTTTATACGAGTTTAATGATACAAAATTGATATAAAGTTTATTGTTATTATTGGATAATTTATATTATTTATTTTAACTATTACATTATTCATAATTTTTTTAATATTTCATGTTTATACTTCCAAATATTGATATTAATACATAATATATTTCTTTTATTTATATTTTATTTTAAAATATTTTTTATATTACATGGTATATAATACTTGAATAAAATACATAATTAACATGGCGAAAGTGTTAAAAATATGTTATTTTCGTTTTATTTGAATTTTAAATATAAATATTGTAAGATATATAATATAGATTAAAAAGTTCATACACAATATAGAAAATATACAACAATTGAAAGTGAACTAAATTAAATTAAATATATAAAATTATAAGAGTTTAAAATTAATAAAAAACTATATTTTGAAATATCTTTAAAATATGTTAATAATCAAATAAAGTTGAAAATTTATATAATAATATAATATAAACGTGTCTCATTTGTCATTTTATAATAAATTTATTAAACATTTATGATATAATAAATTAGTTTAATAGTTTTGAACGACTAGTAACTTTAAATAACCACCTAATTTTTCAGCTATAAATTAGTTCTTCTACTAAGTTTATAGAAAATTACGTCATTGTTGTACTTCCTTCTTGTTCTACTAAGTTTTAGAAGTAGGACAGAATAAAATGAGAGAAAAATAAAATAAAAAATAGAAATAAATATGAAAATTACATTTTATTTTATAATTAATAGAAGGTAGAAGCTCTTATATTTTTATAATTGTCACTTTAAAATTTAAGTCAGTCTAAATTATTGTCATTTTAAAATTTATTGGATTAAATTTTATTATATATTAAAAAAATATCTACAAAGATAATCTAATATATTAAAATTGGTACAAGAATGAAAAAAATAATAATAATAAATATTTAAATAATTTATCATAATAGAATGATAAAAGTGATATTTATAACCCTTCTATCATAATATTTTAAATATTAAATTATATTTATTTTGCATGTTAATTGAGATGTACAAAGATCCCATAATATATTT